GCCTGTTATTGTGCAACAAATACAATATCAAACAATTAGTTAACACAAAATCATACTTTTGACATTTTTAACAATTAATGTTTCATTCCTTGCATTAATTTCATAGAATATTGATTTAAATATTTTGCATTAATAAATAAATAATACACTCGAAATCTAGTATAATATACTGTATTTAAATAAATACATTAAATAAATACATATAATTTATAAATACATGAGAAATTTTCGAAATGTTTAACACTGACTTATGATTTCAAAATTTGGGGTAGTATTGGATGTATATTATATTGTATTAAAAGTGTATATTCATACAATTCTGTTGCCATCGGGACTGGATTTGGCGCACCATATCCACGAAGTCTGTTCAGCGACACAACCAATAAATATACCCTCTCTTGTATAGAGAAGTGCCTTCTTATTGGAACCGCTGACCAGCCTGTTATTGTGCAACAAATACAATATCAAACAATTAGTTAACACAAAATCATACTTTTGACATTTTTAACAATTAATGTTTCATTCCTTGCATTAATTTCATAGAATATTGATTTAAATATTTTGTATTAATAAATAAATAATACACTCAAAATCCAGTATAATATACATGCGAAATTTTCGAAATGTTTAACACTGACTTATGATTTCAAAATTTGGGGATAGTATTGGATGTATATTATATTGTATTAAAAGTGTATAATCATACAATTCTGTTGCCATCGGGACTGGATTTGGCGCACCATATCCACGAAGTCTGTTCAGCGACACAACCAATAAATATACCCTCTCTTGTATAGAGAAGTGCCTTCTTATTGGAACCGCTGACCAGAATATAATCTCCGCTCCAAAAGTATGAAACACATAACGGATCGAAACCAATATTACGCTCTTTTGCTATCTATTGATACAACAATTATTTGAATTTATATTAAATTAAATTGAAATATAATTGTGTTTTCCAATCAATCACATTGATATCAATGGCATCATTAATTTTACAATTATTCCATATCAATACCTAAACATTTAAATATGCTGTGTAATATATTATAAATAGTGTAGTATTTTGAATATTGTAAATTCACTTCAATTCAAATTGTTTAATTCACACTGTAAAGTATGTAAAGTACCAAGAATTTTGTGATTATAAATTCTTTTAAATATAATTATTGAAATAAATTAGCACAATGAATACAGTGCATGGTGGAACTAGTGTTCCCAGAAGCTCCCGGGAGTCTCCGGAATCAGGGTACGACTCCCGTCTCCCGGCGCGGATAATTAATATATTTAAATGACTTTTATGGACTATTTTGTTAATCCAAGGAATTCTTTCAACAATCTTAAGGAATCTCCCGGAAAAATTGACATATAAATGAATTAATCTAGGAATTTGGGAAATTAAACTGTGAACACTAGGTGGAACTGAGATTAAGTACACAAAATAAATAATAATTTGGCCAAAAATCAAATAAACATGTCATCTTAACACAAATACAAAAATTTCAAGCAAAGATATACAGCAGCTAATCACAGTTTGGATAAAACAAAACAAATTGGAGTATAATTTTTAGCATTGGTTAAGTATTATCGGTAACATTTGCTCTACGTTAAGATATTCTGCTATTTTGTAAAAAAAAATAAATAATTTTATAAATGAAACTCAATGTAAATACCGCTTTGCCGTTCAGATCATAAAAGCTCATAGACTGAGTCCAATCGACTGAAACGATTGCATCGGAATCTTCGTCTTTAAGAGGGCAGAAGGAGACGCCCCATATCGGAGCCAAAGGTCCCCCCATTCTCTCGATTCTGTTCTTTTCCTCTCCATTCTGTCATATTTACAAATGAGAAAATGTATTGCCTTTGGCTTATACTCTATATTTTATGTTAAATATATAAAGAATATATATTCTTTATTAATACCCGATTTCTGATCGATATGTGTCCCGACGTGAGTGCGAGCGCCAGATAGTGGCCATCACTACTCCACGAACAGCTATTGATTTGACTGTTTATCTTCTGTTTGGTCACCGCTTTCTGTTCGGGAGACCAAAGACCAAAGTCAGAAGCCGTACAACTGACCAATTGGTGCGATAAAGGGTTGTATTGAATGCAACGAATCGCGTCGTTATGTCTACAAATGTAACACAATTTTGAATATTATTTATGAAAACATAATAAAATGCACATTTCGTACGAATATTTGAGTATTCCTTCCATTTTTGAAGTCCAAATGATGACCTGTTTATCAGCCGATCCCGAAGCAAATCGTTTGCCGTCCATTGAATAGGCGACACATAACACATTGTCTTTGTGTCCCTTTAAGGCCTGTATTAATGTTCCGTCGTTTGCATTATACACATAAACACGAATATCGGCCGCAATTATCAATTGATCGCCTTCTGGACTGAACGCCAAGTCATATATACTATTGACAATCAAATAAGTTTTACAATAGTGTTCATACCATATTATGATAAAACATTTACCACAACTGATTTCCCTCCCGATCCTTGATCTGATCCACCCATAAGAGAGAACTTCTCATTTCAACAGTTAATTCTATTTGAATTTTAATAATCACAACAATTTTCAAAATAACTTAGAGATCTAGAATTGACTTTATATTAGTTTTGTTGTTAGAAATGACAACTCGTATCCAATAGTGATTTAATGTGTTTAATGGAAACAAATTTATTTTTATCAAAAATATCTACCTTATAGAATCGTAATTTAATCACAATTTAATTAATTATAATCTAAATATTGATACGTTAAATATTTTATTCAATAAATCTTTATTGCATAATAGTTTAATATGTTTATTTATCAATAATATAATTATTAATGCAAATATAATTTATTATGTTCTGTTACTTTGTTTTCAAAACTTTTTTATTAAAAATATTTTTATTTATTACTTTAATATTTATTTGACAATATAAACGACATAACAATATATTAATTTAAAGTATTTGATAAGCGTTCGTAAAATGCCCGCTCAAACTTTATACCATAATGATTATACCCAATCAATTCATTGTATATAAATTAAATGCACTTCAAATTGCCGTTCATTTAAAATACGATTTTTAGATAGATATTTGCAAACTATTGTTATGAATAAAGAGTTGTATTACTGGCCTTATTTGGGATAATAATTACAATACAATCAGAATACCCTTTGAAGGCATTAGTTTTGGCCTTCGTTTCCAAACAGTTCAATAAAAGTAATTCACTGAATGGTAAAAGAGATTCAAACCCAATGTCTAATACACCACTTAACCCACGAATTTCTTCTCATATTTTGACTAATTATCAGAAAAAAGTATTAGAATATACTTTTTGGACCAATAAGTATCCAAATGAAAGCCTACTCTTTATTATAGCCCTCGAAACGAGTCTTTCTATTTATGAAGTAAAGGTAAAAATATACCCACGATTATAGTTATTTCTAAATACTTTACTATTAGTTTATATTTTATTATATAATATTTGTATAATTGTTTTATTTATATTTTATAATCAACTTTTAATAAGGGATTATAATGCTGTGATGCTATGTATACAGTAATTTATATTTAGTAAAAGTTAATAATAAACACATTAATTAGCGGTAATTATAACAGAAAAGTTAATTATATAGATAATTGATATAATGTATAGCAATGTTATTTACAATACAATGCCATTGAATACTTGAATAATGTTTATTAATAATGTTTTAAAGGATTGGTTTCAAAATCGTTTGAGTGAATGGAGAAGAGAACAGGGATTTCCAGCCGTCACCAGAAAAATATATCAAATCAATTCAATTCATTAATTCAATCATTTTATTAGTATTACAATACAATACAGTATCACATCTGAGATTCAACTCTTTTATTGCAACTCTTTTATACTTATGTTTAATTTTTTATTTGTAAAACATTTACAAATTAATATATCTAGTAACAAACACTATGAGCCAAACCAGCCGTGAGAGGCAGGGGTCGGCTATACCTATCAATTCAATTATAAATATAGAAATGATTGCAAATAAAACTAAACATATAATTGAAAGCAATGTTAATAATGAGAATGTAGTGAAAATGTAACGCAAAATCATTTCTGTTTTCTGAGGTAAGCGCCGGTCGGGTAATAGATTGGTCGCGGATATGGTATGCCGTAGTGTTGGGCCACTTGTAGTCGTCTCATCCCATCGGCGATGCATTTCCTGATCTCCTTGTCTTCAGTCAAGTGTTTGTTGCCATCGATGAGTCGTTTGGCTTCAGTCCTAATATAGATCCGCTCTTCGCTTGTCTTCAATTCATTCTTCGCTTTCCATGCCTTCGATAAACGGATGACTTGTTTGTAAAACGATAGCACTTCCGGTCGCGAAG